TTAGGTTGGTTGTAGCAGAGGGGGAGAGGCAGAGAGAGAGGGGGATGGCAAGACGGTGAGATGGGTTAGGTTGGTTGTAGCAGGGGGGAGGAGAGGCAGAGAGAGGGGATGGGAAGACGGTGAGATGGGTTAGGTTGGTTGTAGCAGGGGAGGAGAGGCAGAGAGTTGGGTGGGAAGACGGTGAGATGGGTTAGGTTGGTTGTAGCAGAGGGGGAGGAGAGGCAGAGAGAGGGGATGGGAAGACGGTGAGATGGGTTAGGTTGGTTGTAGCAGGGGGGAGAGGCAGAGAGGAGGGGATGGGAAAACAGTGAGATGGGTTAGGTTGGTTGTAGCAGGGGAGGAAAGGCAGAGAGTTGGGTGGGAAGACGGTGAGATGGGTTAGGTTGGTTGTAGCAGGGAGGAGAGGCAGAGAGAGGGGATGGGAAGACGGTGAGATGGGTTAGGTTGGTTGTAGCAGGGAGGAGAGGCAGAGAGAGGGGGTGGGAAGACAGTGAGATGTGTTAGGTTGGTTGTAGCAGGGAGGAGAGGCAGAGAGAGGGGGTGGGAAGACGGTGAGATGGGTTAGGTTGGTTGTAGCAGAGGGGGAGAGGCAGAGAGATGGGTGGGAAGACGGTGAGATGGGTTAGGTTGGTTGTAGCAGAGGGGGAGAGGCAGAGAGATGGGTGGGAAGATGGTGAGATGGGTTAGGTTGGTTGTAGCAGGGGGGAGGAGAGGCAGAGAGAGGGGATGGGAAGACGGTGAGATGGGTTTGGTTAGTTGTAGCAGAGGGGGAGAGGCAGAGAGATGGGTGGGAAGATGGTGAGATGGGTTAGGTTGGTTATAGCAGAGGGGGAGAGGCAGAGAGATGGGTTAGGTTGGTTGTAGCAGAGGGGGAGAGGCAGAGAGATGGGTTAGGTTGGTTGTAGCAGAGGGGGAGGAGAGGCAGAGAGGAGTGGATGGGAAGACAGTGAGATGGGTTAGGTTGGTTGTAGCAGAGGGGGAGGAGAGGCAGAGAGGAGTGGATGGGAAGACAGTGAGATGGGCTCTGGCGTGCCAGATTTGAGGGAGGCAGAGAAGTGGTGGTGGTGTGTGGCGAGGGAAGCCAGTGAACTGGGGTTAAGCTCGTGTGGCGGGGGAGGAGAGAGAGAGGGGGGCTCGGAAGCCAGTACAGTACGTAGTGAACTGAGGTTAGGCTGGTGTGGTGGCGGGGGAGTAGAGGAGGGGATGGATAGCCAGTGAATCTGGGTTGAGGCTGGCTGTGGCGAAGACGGAGAAGAGAGACAAGAGGGCATCTGGCGTGGCGGAGAATCCAGTGAGATGGGATTAGGCCGGCGTGGTAAGGGGAGAGAGGAGAGTGGACTGGCAATGTAGTGGCGTGGTGAGCTGTGGGTTAGGCTGGGTTGGTGTGGAAGGGGGGAGGAGAGAGAGAGGCTGGTAAACAAACAGGCTTTCCGCTCTAGCGGACGCGCTTTCACAGCGAAATACGAGCGCCCTCCACATCATCACGCCAGCGCTGTGCTCAGCTCCCCGCCCAGCACTGTACTCACTCTATTTAATCACGTCCCCCTCCACCACAGGCCCGCAGTAAATATTAACTGAGTGTGCCGTGTGCTTAGGCGTATGATGTATGGTGATACCAGTTGTGCGTGGTGTTGATTTGTGTGAATGTGTATCGTGAAAGCAAGGGGACGTTGGTGACAGAATGGAGTTTAATGCCACCACCCCCCACCACCACCACCCCCCACCACCACCACCCCCCACCACCACCACCCCCCACCACCACCACCACCCCCCCACCACCACCCCCCACCACCACCACCACCCCCCCCCACCACCCCCCCCCACCACCACCACCCCCCACCACCCCCCACCACCACCCCCCACCACCACCCCCACCACCACCACCCACCACCACCACCACCCACCACCACCCCCCACCACCACCCACCACCACCACCCACCACCACCCCCCACCACCACCCCCCCCCACCACCACCCCCCCCCACCACCACCCCCCACCACCACCACCCCCCACCACCACCACCCCCCACCACCACCACCCCCCACCACCACCACCCACCACCACCCCCCACCACCACCACCCACCACCACCCCCCACCACCACCACCCACCCCACCACCACCACCACCACCACCCACCACCACCCCCCACCACCACCACCCACCACCACCACCACCCCCCACCACCACCCCCCCCCACCACCACCCACCACCACCACCCACCACCACCCCCCCCCACCACCACCCCCCACCACCACCACCCCCCACCACCCCCCCCCCCACCACCACCACCCACCACCACCCTCCACCACCCCCCACCACCACCACCCACCACCACCCCCCACCACCACCACCCACCACCACCCCCCACCACCACCCACCACCACCACCCACCACCACCCCCCACCACCACCCACCACCACCCCCCACCACCACCACCCACCACCGCAGCTCTTGAGAGTTCCAGCCGGCTCGAGTTTTTGACTCTCGGTTGTTAGGGATGGGTGGCAAATGTGGTCTTACGGCTGGCATTAGTCTCCCCCATAAGGCCTGCCCGGTCTAAACAGGAGAAGCTGGTGGTTGGGGTTGTTGCCGACGGCCGAGTAAGGGAGACAAAGCTGTGTGTGGGGTTGAGGCCACACGACGCACGTGTGTTTTAACTGTTGTTATCGGCCCTAATAGGCTCACTAAGACATGGTGACGATTGTGTTAAAGGGGTCGTTTTGGTCTTATTGTTTGATAACGTGGTGAGTTTACCAAAAAATGTTTATCACAATAATATGAATGTTACGTTAGTACAGTATGTTCCACATTTCATGTGACAAGATGGGGAGGGGGGTGACAGTGATTCGTGCACGACACCATGAAACCAGTGTTCGCTTGAGCTCGGTTCCCAGCCATGGCTATCACAGAAGCAAGCTTTATCTGAATTGATGGCACCATCTGCACCAACCAGCACTAGCCAGCCTGGCGAAGTATGGCCAAACAATACGTAGCAGGCCTTCGTCCAACAGTGGATCGATGAAGGGCAAAAGTATGACAATTATAAATGGCAGATGACTTTTGGGGCATGAAACCTATGGCTCTTAAAATTGGTGTCCAAACCTCAATATTTTGTTTTATGTCCACAGCCGAGTCAACCAATAAACTGCACGAAAACCCATTAGACTAAATCTGTAATTGCACTCAGCAGTGAGGAGTCGCCAAACACTCATGTCAACATCTTGATAGCGCCATCTAATGGGCGGATAAATTGACCAATTGAAACAAATTGATGCAGGCCTGCAATTGTTTCTTTCCAAGGCTGTTCCCTCATGGAGATAAATGACCCTGCTGTCTTGTAAGGCAGTGCTGCAAATTGAATGACGCACCACTCTAAATTTGAGTGAGCACTGAATGAAAAATGTAAAACTCCTTCAGTACAGTATTTGGGTCATGCTGTATGCTGATGTGTTTTTATACTGTCATATATATGTGTGTGTTCTCCTACGTGAATGAAAAGTTGGCAAGCCAGGTTGTCAAGAATTAGATTTCACGGAAACTTACTTCTCTCTACTGACCTGATGAGCCTGCTTGGAATCCCCAAAATGTGTCCATCTGCCATAAACTGTGGACTCTAAAAGGCCCTCTGACATAATTTGCAAGAGTATGTATGATGTCACGGTGTAAATTAGCAACCACTAATTAAAACATATATGCTGTATTAATAACAATTATCAATTCATACTTTAAATATTATCAATCTTGCAAGAGTTGATGAATCTTAATTAGCGCTCAATTATGGGACAAATTATGACTTGGTACGTGTGCTGGTGGTTTATGGCAAGAACGCGTGTTGTGCTGGTGTTGATTGAATGTACTCTATGTGGGTGCATGCTATTCTGGATCGTTTACCGCGTGTACAAAATGTTTTTCATTCAAATATTACGTCCTTTACCACCTTACTTTTTTTTTAAACCTCAATACTGTAACATTTTCAATTGCATCTGGCTCGATAAAGGAAACTTATTTTTTTAATCCACATATTAACGTGGCAGATGCATTTTATTTTGTGGCATTCGTCTCAATGGTGTGAATGTATTTTAGAAACCCACATTTTAATTACACGCAAGGGTTAACAGTACAGTACACCCTAAGCAGCAGCTACATATAAAGTGCACGCATGTTGACATCCCTGGACTCTCCATGTAGCTGCTACAGCTGTGCCTAAGTTAATCTCACGCTGAAATGAAAAATGAAGGGCAATGCGAGTACTCGACCGCATTCACGCAAATAATAACGTAAAAACAAGGCCCACAAAGGCTACACAAAGGCACCCACACACACACAACAACAACACACACACGGGCCTCTGGTCGCAGTGGCGCCATTGCAGCCTATTAAAATAAAGCACGGCTAAGATGGACGCAGCAGCAGCAGGCAAACACGAAACACTCGTGCCGAGGTTTCTCGTGGCTTTATTCGCTTCATTCCGAGGGAATGCTCGTCGTGTAGGATGCACGAGCGAGTTTGTTGGTGCGAGGATGAGGAGAGGGGAGTGCGCTGTAAGCCCGTTTGAGTTTAGTGCGGAATTGAGGCCACGCTAATGAGCGAACAACCGCCGCGCTACCCTGGAATGCGTGAATCGCCCCGCGCAGCCACCCCGCCGCAAATAGTGCGGCCCCTGTTTGCCTTTGTGCGGGGGGGGGGGTGAAGCAGTCCCGCCCTCGCCGCGCTTTTTTCATTTTGTTTTAAACCGCAAAGACGTTGTTTGTGTGTGTGTCCCTCGCGCGCGACGAGCGAATGCCCTCGCCCGAGCAACATTCGGCGGTCAGGGACAGCGACGGAGTTTGGAGGGGAAGGGGTTAGGCTGAGCGGGGGACTTTGTCGCGCATGGATTCGGGTTTTTCCCCCTCCCCCCCCCGAGCTCCGCGCGCGCGCGGAAGGATACCCACCCAACCTCCCTTCCCCCACCCCCACCAACGGAGCCCAGAGCCGCATCACCGCCTGCGATAACACACGGAGCGGCCCCCGGTGCGAAGCGAATCCCGGAGCGCGGATCGGCGCCCAAAATGGGGCACTCGGATCCGGCGAGCGCACAATCGTCAACAACAACTCTCACACAGACAGATTCGTGCGGCGAAATCGTCGTGGTCGTCGCGGGCTGTTAGTCGCGAATCAAAGGACGGCGAGTAGATTCATTTTGTAAGTGGCGGCGGTGAGAAAGGGGGAGAAGAAGGGCGGTGCTAAAGCGAACCGGAATCCTGGCCGCCCCGAGGGAGCGTCGATCCGTTCCGGCTCTTGCGCGCCGCTGTTTTTAATAATAGAAGTACAGTAATGGATAGGAGTAGTTGTGCTCTAAGTCCTCATGCCAGGCGGCGGGCCAACAACTCGCTGCATGGACTCCTCTTGGGGTCGCCTCGTTGAATCGCGCGCACGCGGGAGGGACTTCGCGACGACGAGCAGGGGACGGGAGAGACGCCACGCAGCACAGGCTTAGTCCCCCGTCCGTCAACGAAGGCGGTGATATGTAAAGTTTAAAGGAGGGGAGAGAGAGAGGGGGAACAAGAAGGCGGGCTCGCAGAGAAGGCGGACAAAAGCGGCGGACGCCCCTTTCTCTTTCACGCGCCTCGTCCCTCCGTCCCGTGCGACCCCCGTCCGTAGGCACCTCTTGTTTAGTGTCAGACGCGAGGAGATCGAAACGACGAGGAGACGGAAGAGGACGAGAGGGAGACGAGCAAGAGGCGAGGAGGAGGAGGAGGAGCAGGCGGAGAGACGGTGGAGGACGAGGAGGCATGGCCGCCCAAGTGAAGCTGGTGGGCGGCCTCGGGCGGGACTCTGATCGCAGCCCGCTGCTCGGCAGGGCGAGCGCCGAGCACCCGGGCGGCGCGGGGGAGCAGCAGCAGCAGCAGCAGCCCACGTCGCTGCTGCTCTCGGACGAGGCCACGGGCAGGAAAGTGCGGGCGGGCGCCGAGCAGAGCGGCGACAACAGCGGCAGCAACAATAGCAACAGCAATGGAGACCAACAACATGGAGTGCGGGCCAAGGACGGCGGAGGCAGCAACGGCAGAGGAGGAGGCGGCGGTGGTGGCGGCGGCGGTGGTGATGCCGGTGGAGTTCCCGACACGTCTTCGTCATCGTCCTCGTCGTCGTCTTCGTCCTCCGAGAGGGAGGCCGGGGTCTCTGCCACGGAGGCAACGGGGCCTAGTGGGCCGCATCATGGCGGAGAGACCCCGGGCTCGGCTGGGAGCTCCGCCGAGCCCGGGGCGAGGGGGCCCGGCGGCCTGAACTCTCACGGTGACGGGGTTTACGGGGTCGGCGGTGGCGGGGGTTACGGCTACGACGGAGCCCGCTCGGGCTATGGGCCCGGCTTCTCGGGGGCTCACTCGCCCCGAGGAGCGGGAGGAGCCGGAGCGGTGGGGCTCAACCAGCAGCAGGACGTAATGATGATGATGGCGGGTGGCGGAGGAAGGGCGAACAGCAGCGTGGCCGGCTATCCGCACCACCACCATCAGCACCATCACCACCAGCAGCAGCATCAGCACCATCATCACCACCACCATCAGCAACAGCAGCAGCAGCAGCAACAGGGCAGGCTGATGGGCGGACAGTCGTCTCATTCGGCGCAGTCTTCGTCGCAGTCGGCCGAGACGCCAACACTGAACCAGCTGCTCACATCGTCAAACCCCGCCCGGGTGTACAGCGCCATGGCCGCTGGGCAAGGTCCGGGGCCGGCTTCTTCATCATCATCATCAACAGCAGCGGGAGCAGCGGGAGCTTCGTCAGCAGCAGCAGGAGGAGGAGGAGGGCGACCAGCGGCCACGGCGAGTCCTCAGCCACCCAACAAACAGGTGAGAGTGAGAGAGTTTTAGGTAAACAGAAAAACAACGACCCAAGTTGTATTTCGTGTGGCTGAAGCCCCTCGTGGTCGTAGTGATTACTGTGATGTAATGCTCGCGTTCACGAACGGCTCGCAGAGCCTTGAGACCCATTTTTAAGAGTGTCTTTAGTTGATATGTTCGTCGAGTTTATTAGTGTTATCATTAAAATGCGTTGATTTGCATGTGGGGGAGGAGGACACCCCAAATTTACCCGGAGGAAACCCAACCAACCTGCTGTCTACATGGTAGGTTTTACACCTTCAGAGGTCCGCACACACGGGTTCACGAACCCTCACTTTTATGTCTACGAGCCGACCACCCAAGTGTGTATGGCTAGACTCGTACGTCTCTGCGTGATCCACCAACCCTTGCCTCCGAAAGCGCCGGCTTCGGACACGTTATCTGTGCGAACTGCTGGTGGCAGTGGGAACACGCGCGCCAATAAACTCAAAACGCGACCCGAAATAAAAAGAAAACCCCCCGATGTCATTAGGCGACGTTCCGGGCTGTGGCCCTTCGTAGCACACAGATGGGAGTTCGTCTCACAGACGTGCGCCACCACCGTGGTGTGGCGGTGGTGGAGGCAGCAGCAGCAAGCAACGTGCTTTGCTCCAAGAACAAAGGGGGACCCCTCTGACTTTTTACTGTCTCTTGCTTTCGTCGTCTGCTCGTTCGGGCGGCCTTATAGGCTCATTTCTCCCCCTTTTAGACGATTTGCGGTGGCCCTCGGTGGGATTTGTGTGTGTCGGTGGTGGAGTTGGCGTCGTGGTTTTTGTGTGCGCTGGAAGAGCCCGTGGAGGTTATGAAAGCGGCGTGAGAGTTTGTCCCACCGCCACTAGCTCCCTCTGACCGCGCCGCGCTAATGGTGATGGTGGCTTTCCTACTGCTGTATTCATTGGGCCCTCCATGTGCGTGGCTGGTGTGTTTTTTTTTGGGGGGGGATTAAATTTGCTCATTTCGTGGCTGCTTTTTTCACCGAGTTGTCACTGGCGTCAGTTTTTTTCATGTTTTTATTTACACGGTGACTGAGATCGTTGTCGAGTTCATCCGTCCAGATATGAGACATTTTTTGGAAATGTTGCATCGATAAATGTGTTCGTGAAAGTCGCAACAGGAAAACAAATAATATTCGAATCTGTGTGTACACGTTCAGTGGCTACGATGAAAAACATGAATGAAGGCCATTCCGGCCTTAAGTGTGTGCACGTTAATAAAACTGCTGTATACAAGGTTGTACTGTTTTCGTTTTCCATCAGAAACAGTACTCTAATACAATAAAAAAAAGTCGGCATGTTGACTAATTGAGTGCTGAATTATAGAATCAAGAAGTGCACGCAAATAAGTCAATCGACTTTAGAAGCAGACGAAATGAAAATTAACGTAATAGCTAAAAAAATTAAGTATGTATCCCAAGTGATTTTCAGACATCAATGACGTATAAAAAAATTTTTTCCCTGTTCTTAAATGGAATTAGTTTTTTTCAAAAGGCAGGTTCTGTATACATTAATGTATTCGTATGACCGATTTCCGCACTTTTATATCGAAATAAACGTCTTTTAATCCAACAACAAAAAAAACTAAGCCAAAATTTTTAACCTAGTGATACATTGGACTCGTCGTGATGTGCAAGCCGTGGGGGAGATCCCTCGTGTGTGAGTGAGCGAGCGAGCAAAGGGGATTGTTTGTAAACACAGGCGAATATCTGAACTTGATTGAACTAATGCACAATGGGGCACACGTGGCGCTGACGACTGCAACGCCCCTAATGGGATGAGATGCCTCAATTGCCGCTGCAATTTTGAGATTGCCACCAAGGGTGCTTTAGGAATATTTTGACTGCACATGGGGGCTGTGCACAATGTTTCCATTAAAAAGGAAGGTTTTTTTTATGGCGGGTATTAAGACAAAAAAAATTGGTTTCCACAAAATCAGAACCAATTTGTCAATGCTATGTTTTTTCTCAAATTTTAAGGGTACGAATTTGTTTTGATATTCAGTCATGTAAATAAAATGAATGCAGTATTGGTTCTTGCACGGTTTAGCTAGATTGGTTGCTGTTCTCATCCCAATGGCCTGTTAAAATCTTTTGCCCTTCTTGCAAGTGAAAAGTCTCCCTGGGTCAATGTAGCATGAAATGAACATCCAGTACTACGACGTGGACTCCGGGTAGAATTTGGGTTCTGGTCCCCGGAAATAAATGTGCACTAGTAACACTGGCTCAAACTCGATTTGAAGCTTTCGTGACTGCAGGAATTACTCTTTGGTTCTTTCGGTAAAGTCACGTAGAAAGAAAATAAGTTAAACAAAGAGTAACACTGGCTCGCTTTGCATTACATAAGTGGTCTCTTTGCCTTTGGCCTTTTACCCTATTTCCCCACTGGAGTCACAGCCCAGAGAGGATCACGGTTTGATTCCCAGGCAGAACAGTTGTTACATTTTGGGCGAGCTGCCTTATGCACCATTGCCCCTGCCTACTCAGCTGTAATGTGGATTAAGCTAGAAAAGAAGTGTATGGGCATATCGCTTCATGTAAGGCGTAGCGTAAGCAGCATGCAGTCCTATTTCAAACCCAGTGTGTGCAAGAGTTTGGTAAATGTGCCCTGTGGAGGTCTTCTATGCTGTATTTCGCACGCATTTTTATTTTGGCCTAATGGACTGGCTTACACTACTGTAATTGTAATACACTAGTAGATGTGAAACGTCAACCACGTGTCTTATAGCATCTTAACATCAATGCTGAGGTCCACCATCCAGGAACCAAGCATGCGGTGCTGCCATTTTCTCGTGTGCCTGGTAAGTCGCCGGTTGCTTGTTTGGCTGGACAACTTTCAGAGAGGGGAAAGGACGAGTTTCTAATGTCCCTTTTCCACTGGTACATCTGAGCCAAGGTGGTATTCCACTTGCTGTTAGCCCCGCTGTGCCGGAATTCTACTGCTTTGCTGGCCTCACAAGGCATCTGAATCTGGCTCTTGGCCGAGCAGGGTCAGGAGCGGGCATGATGACACATTAATTACCTGGGAAATGTAAACACAAATTAAATAGCATCGTTGCATCATGTACATGCATCCAAACACATTACGTGAAGTCGGCGGTACGGCTAGCCTTCTGCATTTGAAACGCATCCTATCACCCCCTGAACTACACTCGGCTGGCTTGGCGAGGCTCTGGCACGGCTTGGTTGTCCAGTGGAAATGAGGTATACGCTGCCCTGTAAAACGAGTTAAAGTGTGCTGTAGTTCGTACCTCAATGGCATTACCATTGCCCCTTCTAAATCGGCACCTCTTCTGAGACTGGTTGAATGAGCCAGGTTAATCTTAGAAGCGCGTGGTGGTGAGTGACCAGCATCATTCGCGTTGTCATCGTTAACAGGTCACCAACTTTTCTGATTTCATATGTTCTGAACAATTGAGAATTTTGCACACCTACCCCCTGTCAACGAGACAAAAAACACCTTTTGCTCATGTAATGCTTGTTATGCGTTGAGTGTACATCACATTGTGGAAGGAAGTTTTTGGCACATTATTTGAAACGTGCTCAACAATGCACTTTCACATCTGGACCGACAGAAAGCTGATGTCTTGTCGGTGTTTATCACGCGCAAGCGATTTGTTGAAAGCCTTTTCAGATGCCCAGCACCCATGGGTAGCACTGCAGGTAAGAATGCACATTAAAATCCCATGTAACAACATTCGAGGCTAATTTTGCAAGTACAGTACCGTAAGCGATTTCCATAAACAAAATCCATTGTTACAGAATACTATTGAAGTGTATATTTAGCGCCAAGCCTATTTTCATTGGTCCAAAAAGTTCTTAGATTGACAGAGAGCTACCCATGATTGGCTGCTCTTCCACACATCAAACAACTTTTTAGTGGCAAGTGAAAACATTACATGCTTTTCCTTGTTGATATTTCACTTTTTTTTAGTAACTCTTACACGCTTCCTGATTCTAATGCAGTGGCTAGTAAGGCCTTAGGAAGTATCTATCTTGCATCCAAATGTTGACACGTAGATTCGTAAGTTCAGGGTTTTTTTTACTTGACATTTGGTGTCAGTATATATGTGCCTCTAATATGCCCAGCTTACTTTGGAGGCGAGGCTGGCGTGTTGAATCTCACTTAAGCCTTAAAGCAGTGTATCCAGATTCAGAGATAAAACTAAAAGTTTTATTCGGTCCAGGTTCACATTCTTGTTTGATTAGGCATGCATCCTTACATGCATCCTTAATGAAAATAGTTTGTAGTTGGGATTGGTTTTAAAGTTAACATTGTGGAAGCTCTTAATTTAGTTTTTCATTTTTCAGTGTTTAGTTTTAGAAATTCTCAGTTTTGATTAACAGCATGAATTTATCAGCAACTTGTGCTTTAATACAATTGGCAAAGACTGCGCTACTTGATGCGCTTATTACATTATTCATGATGTCATTTGTATACTATAAAAAATGAATGTTCAAACGACTTGACAATCTTGGCCAATCAAATGGTGTAGGGAAACACCGGCGTGACTCCACCGAGGTGTTTATAATCGGGATGTTTGGATGGGTGCAAGCTTGTGCAAATGACCTAACAAAATGAAAGGATTGAACTTGGCTTCTAATGCGGTTTCAGACCAACTAAATACGTTGAGTTGGTTCAATTTGCACACTAATAAACAGTGCCCTGCCCCGTAATGCATTTACAAAAGCAGTTGGTATTGAACATTTGTTGCGCTGTTTTTGATTTGAATTGCATTACTGAATGTGGCGAACTGTCATTTACATTTACCCAGGGCAATGTGTTTGATGTAATAATATTTTCTATAGGTTGATTACCCGATGGTGGAGGATTGTGCATTATTCAGTATTTCATACCTGGACGTATTACACCAACGATGTGCAATAACAAATCCTGCTTGTTACGATTTCTACCCTGTGGCCATTCAAGCTCACCAGAAGTATGGCGAGGTGGGGGACAAAATGTTATCGCCCAACT